AGCGTCGTTGCCCGACATCCCCAACATCACTTCCGGGTCACGTGGTCATGTCACGGCACTCTGCCCCACTCCCGGAACGCTCCCTCCCACCCTGCGCTGGCATGCGATCGGGACCGGGCGACCCTACCCGGCAAGGTTCTTGGCCCACTTTACTCAAATTTGGGGCAAGTACCCCAACGGGGAGTGGTGCTCCGAAGAGCCCCAGGCAGCGTGGCAAAGAGCGGCACGTGGCTTCCAAGCCACTGAGCAAGTCTCACTGACCAAGGGCGATTCTTCCTCTAGCACTGGCTCCACATTTTCTCAACCGGGAGGGGAAAGCGCAGCTCAAAACCGCATCCAAATACCCCGGGGTAACGCCATATGGACTGCAAAGTCACCCCTGAATGGCCATAAGATGGCAATAAGTCTATGCAGAAGGTACCAGTAAATCCAACAATCAAAGACCTCGAAAGTCGACTGGAGTGTGGAAGCTACCCTAAAACCCGATAATCAAATGAAGTGAAAACTGCATGCAATGCAGAGGGGAATGTCTGTTACAACGGGGGTTTCATAAAGCAACGGAGGGAAAAGCCAATGTAGAATCAGCCGTAGACTTTCAACAGAATTTAAACCAGCTTCCAGTGAGTCCTCAGGCTCAAAGGAAGAAGAAGAGGAGGAGGAGGAGATTGGATTTATACCCCGCCCTTCACTACCCAAAGGAGTCTCAGAGCAGCTTACAAGCTCCTTTCCCTTCCCCTCCCCACAACAGACACCCTGTGAGGTGGGTGGGGCTGAGAGAGCTCTTTTCAGAACTGTCCTTGAGAGAACAGCTCTGAGAGAACTATGGCTTGCCCAAGGTCACCCAGCAGCTGCAAGTGAAGGAGTGGGGAATCAAACCCGGCTCTCCCAGATTAGAGTCCGCGCACTTAACCACGACACCAAAGGGAGAGAATGTCTTCCCTTCCTCCCTTTTCCTTCCACCCTTCTCAGGAACGGAGAGCCACAACAGCTCGATTCGAACCCCAGAGTGACAGGATTTTCAAGGTGCAACGCTTCAAGAGGCAAAGGTCCCTCGGCCAGGCACAGTAGAGTCGAAACACAGATTGTTTTGCATTGCTTCTTTTACAATGGCAGTAGAGAAAGAAACCGAGAGGCTGGACAACGGATTTGCACCCGGGCCCAAACCTAGTTCCCTCGGGAACCCGAAACATTAAGGCCGGATCCTGTCCATTCCCCAGGGTGCTGAGCACCAAGCACATCCCTTCAGCCGGCCCAACGATGCTCAAAATGCCCCGCTTAACCAAACAAGTAAGCCAAGCCGCAGAAGGCAACCACTGCTGTGCCCGTCGCTGCCCGTCCAGACTTGGTCTTTCCGGCCCCCGTCAGAGTTGGCTTCCCCGGCTGGTATTCAGCTCCCTGACAGTCGAGGGCAAGACAGTGGCCTCCCGACCTCGCTGGCCTTCGTGCCGTCAGCTCCGATTAACTCGCAGGCCCGCTGATGCCATCGGTTGGCTTGAGCGGCTCGACTGACTCACCAGATTTCAAAAAACAGAGGCCTGAGTCCCTCGCCCCCTCCCGCCCCCTCCCTTCTTCCTTCTCAGGTTACACTGGCAGGGGAAGCGGGACTCGGGAACACTCTCCGTGACTTGCAAGGCTTTGGTTCAAGAGTTCCACTGGCGGTGCACCGTTGTACTGTTTTAAAGGGGGGAAGGGAGAAAATGCAGCACTCCCCCCCCCACCTCCCCCTTGCAATTCTTTGCCAACAGTATGAGGGGCTCAGAGTCAACGCTCCCTCCAAGCTGTGGAGTCCTGTGAGCAAAAATTCTACTCTGTGAGCTGCTGGCATTAAAGTTGTGAGCGAGCCATTTGGCTGCTGCACGGATTCATTTGCTCGGGAGCCACCCCTCCCTGAGCGGAGACAAAAAATCTGTGAGCCGGAGGCTAAAAGACTGTGAGCTAGCTCGCACTGACTTAGCTTTCAGGGGACACTGTTCAGAACCGGCCTGTTATAAGGAAAAGGCTCCATGTTTGTGGACCACAAACGTCCCTGCTCAAAGATATCGGTGAACGGCAGCCATAGGAAAAACTACAGGAGTTTTGCAAAGTCCCGAGTCGACCGGCACCTTTAAGACCGACAAAGTCTTAATTCTGGATATAAGCTTTCGTGTGCGTGCAGGCAGATGCTCTGCCACTGAGCCACAGCCCCTCTTTACAGTTCTCCAGTGTCTCAGGCAGAGGTCTTTCATATCACCTCCCACCTGGTCCTTTAAACTGGAGATGCCGGGGATTGAACCTGGGACCTCCTGCATGCCAAGCAGAGGCACTACCACCCAGCCATGGTCCTTCCCATTCAAGCACCTGGTGCTATCCTTAGCTACAGCAAGGGGGTAAGAAAGAATCTGGAGAGCTGCGGTTCATACTAGGCTCAAAGGAACACTTGACTGGATTCTGTATTACGAGTACCACCAAAGAGGGAGCTGCGGTGGCTCGAGTGGTTAAGACGTTGAACTGCAGGCTGTGGAAGGTCAGTAGTTCAGCAGTTCGAGACCCGAGTGTGCCGCATGACGGAGTGAGCTCCCGTCTCTAGTTCCAGCTCCTGCCAACCTAGCAGTT